TTTATTTGAAAACTGGTGCTTCACATGTAGTCCCATATAAAAATTTGATCAAGGTCTAACAAATAGTTTTGGCGTTATTCTTAATAATTTATATTGAAGTCGGTTGTACAAAATTTTATATTATTGTATAATAACATAAATAATAACAGTTTCCAAAGCAAGCGTACATTCAGTTCCGGTGTTATTGAACTACCTTACGTTTCCATATCCTCGCAAAGTTGAACGCTGTTAGTCTACCAAGACTTAAATGTAAATTTGTTATGCTAATTATCACCTAGGTGATAATTAGATGTACACATAATATATTTTTTCATACAATATTGCTCGCTAGTAAAGTATATTTACAAACTGATTTAGTTTACAGTTATTTATTCACGGAAACTCTAATAATATAACTCATTCATTTTTTATCCTTTATAAGAGATAATTCATTACACGTAATTCAATTCGGGGATGTTGTACTGTACTGAGGAAATCACTGATAATTTTTACGCGATCCCTACTGAACACAGTTCGGGATGACACGATAATATTCTGAAGACTATTGTTGATTAGACAGATTGTCCTGTCCTAAAATGTTGTATATACCTATATATAAGAAATAATAAACTGCGTTGGCCAACAAGTCTGGCCAGTATGGCAACTATGGCAAATATCCAACGAGGCAGTAACGTTCACGGGTAGACAATCTTTAATTATAGCACTTAACATACATAATTGGTAATTTATTTAATAGAGTAACTTGATGTGTGTGTAACAAAAATATTAATTGAGCAATTTTTGACGGTTGTTGTGTTCGATTTGGGCCATGTTTTGTTGCGTCGTCATTTATGATAATTGTTGTTTTGAATGTTTCGCAAGGATGTTTGTTCTAATTATTTCTTATATTTACGCGAACACTACACATTAAATGAAACTTATGTTACGGATTTTGTCGCGTTTAATTTTAACTGTCGTTTCGGATATGAGATCGCCTCGTAAAATAAAAAAGTGTCGTATAAACTTTAGTGGCTGATTTACACAGGGACAGTAACTGGCTCCAAATTCGAGGCAAGTCAGTGCTGACCCGCTACTGGCATAATGTAAATTGATTTGAAGTCAGTACAGCACGGTCTGCGCGACTTCTGACTGCGTGTAAACGGTGCAAGTCAGTCGTCGGCGCCAGCACTGGCGCCTGTTACTGTCCCCGTGTAAAGCAGCCTTAACGCCCTATTTCGCCCTGTACAAGGGTTTGAATTTTCCAAAGTTCTTCCTTGATGGATACGCAAACACGTCTGCATTTAGATTTTTAATCGAGGATAGATAAGATGTCTATGGGTCACAACATCCACTTATCATCTGTGTGCTCATTTGTCACTTTTATTTTGTAAAAAAGAAAACTATGTTTTTTAGTTCTTTCAAGTGGAATTTTTAATTTTAAAATTTAGAATACCTAATAATTAAATAATAATTCAAAGTATACATTCAACATAAGAAATTTAGTATAATAAAAAAGCTCTCTCAGTAAAGAGAGGAGGCCTGTGCCAGCAGTGGGATGTATATAGGCTGTAACTTAACATTAAGTTTTACTTACTATTTGCTTGAGAAGTACTGTTGATCTTTATATTTGCTTTGCCTACGTAATAAAATGAAGCTATTATCCCAATATTACGCTTCTACTTTTATTTTAATTTTAATTCAAGGATATATGCACCAGTTTACGAATTAAAAAAAAAAGCTATTAATAATTTGTTTCTATACAAATTTAACACTCTATGGACCTTGATAAAGAAGACCTATGGAATAATTTTTGTCAAAGGAATATTTTTATTGTATAATAAACTGAAGAAAAGTCCCGCTGGGTTTCTTGCTGGTTCTTCCCAAGACAGAGGTTCTTTCCGAACCAATGGTAAAAAATTACTTTCAATAAGAATTAGGTACTTGTAATCTATATTGAATAAAAAATAATCTACTCTACATTCTTCACCGTCGGGCATGAATAATTGCAATTAACATTTGTGTCGGTTGGAATTGAACTCCGTTGGTTTGTTAATTATAACATTTTAAGATTGCAATGCCTGCAATTTTTTTCGACAACTTGGTAGCGTAGCAGACAAGCGTTCGGCTGTGATGCTGCAGGACCGCGGGTTTGAATCCCACACGGAAAAAATGTTCGGTTTTTTGAAGAGAAACTTTTTACGGGAGGGCTTTGAAATTGTGACCTTTTTGTGTGACGAAAGGGGGTTAGGGTAAACACTACGTACCGGGTCATTCAGGTTGATCATTCAAATCGCAAATGCAGGCCATTACATACCATATTGTATATAGTAATACAATGACAATAACTAGATCACAACGGTCTTTCGATCGAATACTAATCTTATATTAATTTTATTTAAGACAGTTACCAAGGTACACGTATTTATTTTAGAAAGAGTGATCGTATTTGAGTAATAGCGCCATCTACTACATTTTCCACGTTCCATGAGAGTTAATCAATTTTGGTTCGATAAAATTACTTTACTTATAGAATGAAGTAGATGGCGCTTTAAAAAAATGAACAAAAACTAATATGAATAATTGAAATGTTGTCCTATAATCCAAAAGTTTCACTTCTGTCATGTCTTCACGACACACACTGTTTTTTTTTTCTTCTATAAAACTTAAGTGACAAACGAATTTACAGTCTACATTGTGGTAAGTGGCTACTGCAGTCCATTTACAACTGCGGTCAGTTTCAAACAAATGTGGTTAACGATTCGTGGTGCTTGTAATACCACTCAGACTGGAACACAGCAGAGGGCAGCACGCACTGCTATTTGACGGCAAAAATAGACAAGGGGGTGGGTGCCACTACCTAGACCGAAAGCAGTGCTAAATATTTTTAAATTAAAAATTTTGTACAACCCACTTCAATATATATTATTAAGGATTACTCAAAAATTATTGGTTACACCTTGTTCAAATTTATATGGGACCACATGAGATAGAAAAACCACCAGGAGACTATGAATGCAGGAAATGGTATTTTTGTACATTTTGTAAAGAAAATTTTGTATAGACAGTTCGTAAATACTTTAAAATACACAATACACATGCAAACATCCTCCACATTGATACAATCGCTACATTAAGTACGCAATTTCTTCTTAGTCATGACGACGCTCATCATTAACATAACTCACGTGTGAATTCACGCATAGAAGGTGAAGCGTGATTGAAATTAAATGAGAGAATACCGCTTTCATGCAATATTGAGTGAGATGTGACGACAAAGATAACATCACAATCTTCTTGTTCGTTTTATTACGCAGCTACGATAATGTATGTGTAGCGGCCTGCGATCGATGATTTCGATAACCGATGTTCATTGAATTAATATTGTCTCTCTTTACTACGTGGTAGAGCCATGCTGCAGCTATATTATGGTTATAGCACGAATGGATCGGCTCGACCGGGGAAGGACCACGCTCTCACAGAAAACCAGCGTAAAATAGCAGCTTAACGCTGCTGTGTTTCGTATGGTGAGTGTAGAGAACCGGAGACCCTTTTTACTGGCAAAGAGGCATTCCATCTTAGTCCTCACGGGTGACAACGCATCTGCATCTTGATTCTTTATTGAGGATAGATGTAGATGTCTATGGGTCACAGTAACCACTTACCATCAGGTGAAGTGTGTGCTCGTTTGTCACCCGATCCTATAAAAAAAAATTATTTCGAGATAAAAAGTAATCCTTTTAAACCGACTTCTAAAAAGAGGGAGGTTCTCAATTCGACTGTATTTTTTAATGTAAATCACCTTAGAACTTTTTTCAAGGTGAAGTGGTTTTGATGATTCTTTTTTATCTGAAAGCTGGTGCTTCTGACGTAGTCCCATGTAAATTTGATCAAGATCTGACTAGTAGTTTTTGAGTTATCCTTAATAATGCGTATTTAATTGGCTTCCGACTACATTGGTGATGTTCTCATTTTATTTATAATGAAGTCGGTTGTACAAATTTATATTAGCCTCTAGACTTCCAATGTGAACACTTTATGTATGTATGTGATAGGTACCAGATACATTCAAAATTCGTAAAATACTGTTACTCTTCTGTATACAGATTTAGAGTGTCGTCTTTTTATATAAAATATATTATATGTATATACTACCTTTGATAATAACTAAGAGAGGTTAAAAATGTGATATGATTATTTTTTCGTTTTATCTATTATCTAATGAAAATAACTGAATAACTTTATATTACCTGAACATAAGCCTCCCCATAGACTGCTACAAACTACGAACCTAAGTCACCTACATGCATCGACTACCCGGGAGTCTTAACAGGTTGTCACTCCATCTGATGGGGGGTCGCGCAACACTGGGATTACCAGTACGAGGCTCCCACTCCAGAACCTTTCTTCCATTCGAGAACTAGAAGATGGCTAGCAGCATCTTCCTAATGTTAACTTAATTAAAAAAAACTGCGGTGGTCAACTTTATCAAGCGTGGCAACTATGGCATATATCCCCTCTGTGATAGATACAAGTAACTTTATATACAACTAAAGACTAAACAAATAATTTTTGTCTGTCTGAATGTTTGTCTTATACTCATAGCATGCAAAATAGAAGCCAGTTATTTCAATATTACTCACTGACAGACTCCTCACTTTTATTTACATGTAGATATATAGATTTATAGATATATAGATTATTTAATGGTATGTAAAATAACTCCCTTAGCTCAAATGTATGCAGTTATTTCGATGTTACAGACAGACACTTTAATTTAATCCACTTTAATTTAATATGTATTGATATAAAAATTGTTCATAAAGATAACTGCTATAATAAACTGTATTTTTAACTTCTATAATGTACAATCTTTTATCTATTTACAATCACCACAATTATGCTTACTACACTAACTTTAATACGGAATCTTATATTGCAAGAATATTTTTAAACATTAATATTCCTTCTAATTCCTAATGTTAATATTAATATACTGATACCACCGTGTAACCTTTCAGGAAATGCAAGATGTGTTGGATGAGGACTCGGATATGAGCGACTGGCTGGTAGAGCGGGAATCGAAGTCCGGTGTGGTGCTGCACGACAGGCTCATGACCGACGCGGCGTTGGGTGCGGTACCAATAAAGACAGAACACTCGTATAGCCTACATTCAGATGTGGAATCGTCGCCACCTTCACCAAACCACACCAAAGTAGACGGTAAGCAATAATTACTTGTGCTTAGACCCTAGAGTCACTTGTCCCCCACTTTATATATGTATATACTAGCTGATACCCGCGACTTCGTCCGCGTTGCTTGGTATATTAACAAAGTTTTCGTATGTGCGAAGGAAAATACATCAAAAAATTCCAAATTTCTTTTGTAAACAATGTTCGTTGCTCCGTTTGTAGCTAAAATATATAAATTATCTGGGTTAGTAACGCGAGAGCAAGCGACGTACAGTTGACCGTGTGAAAACCCCCGTATAAAAATGGTTGTTTCTTAAAACTAATAATTTTATACTAAATTATGATATCGCAATATTTTTTTTCAATAAGGGCCAAATGTCTAAGAAATAAAACTTAGAAAACCTAATTGAAATCTATCCAGTAGTTTTTCAGTGATGCGCGTACAACTGCAAATCTCTATAATTTTATATAAATAGATAAAATCATGCAAGATAAAATTATATCTTGAACGTTAGAAATTAAACAAAATGTCTACTTTTTCTCCAAATGTATTTATTTAATAAATCTCCTAAAAGTAGATAAAGTTCATTTTTGATACTCGAAAACTCAACCATTAAATAGCTATAGACTACTTTCCGTTGACCTCTATCCATTCTATCTATTGCAGTTTATAAAAATCCAAAATACGGTTCCTCAATTCCACATAGATTGCGTTGGCTTAGAACCATGAGATTTTCAAGAAACACTGTCTCGCAGCAAAGGTTAGAGGATACAGCCGAAAATCTGATGTATGGGACAAAATTTTTCGTACTGCATAGTTAAGTTTTTCTTTCAATCCGACTTACCTTTTCGTCACGTACCTTGCTTACTGCATAGCAATATTCGCGAGATGGATGAAAAATTTACATAAGCATATAATTAAGTTTAGACGGAATCCTCAGGGTGCGAGTCCTTGCACTCTCGCCCGACTTTTTACCAAACCATTAATATTCTTCCCTGTGTTCGGACAAAGGAAGTAAGTGCTAAGTCACCAACTGTTTTGTACACTGCATGTGTGTAGAGTTTAAATCAGTAATAGCTTTTGGAAGTTCCGCTCGGGCTAGTTTTGAATCGTGCCTACCCTACTCAGTGCAGAGCATAATTGGTTTTAGTAAGCTATCGCACGTGAATGTGTAAGAAATTTTATTACTGATGTAGTAAATATTCTCCATTGCTTAAACCCAAGTCTCTCACAAAACTGGATGGACCTTGGCAAGCGGATCACAATGACAGTTTTAGATATTTCGCAACTTTCCGACTGCTCCCCGTATTCTCGTCATCGGTCTCGGTAAATGATGGTAATAACTATTCGCTGTTCGTTGGAAGCTACGAGATTTTCCAGGCCTTTCCGCTACACTACTTGTGCACCCTTGGGCCGTTACTAAAGTCCACTGCTGAACACAGGCACCCCCCATGGATAACCTCATAGGGGGATATTTGCCATAGTTGCCACACTTGACAAGCGGGTTGGCAACCGCAGTTTATTTTTATTTTTAGTCGTTATTAGGCAGACGCTGCTGCTCATCTCATGATTTGTTTCCCTCTGTCGCCTGTGACGACACCCACGGGACGATATGTGGTAGTGGGTATACTTACACAGCCACTACACGGTAATGTAAGTAGGTTGGTACGTAAGTAGGTGGTAAATTCTCTTTCACAGCGTCACTCATCCCAGACTCACACTCAGAAAGCGCTTGGGCTTTGCAGATTACGGACGTGTCGGTCAAGTCTATGTACTGGCGTCAGTCCACTCTCATTGCTCGTGTGCAATTCAAAATAAAAAATAACCGATTTTAGTCACGATTTTGGTGTTCTCACTGCTATGTCCACCCGTGGACTCTTTCCGGTTTTTTCGGATGCTGAATTGGGCTCCTATGTGGAAACCAATCAGCGTGCCCCGTCCAAGCCCGACGACCAAGGTTTTACCCTAGTCAAGGGCAAAAAACACAAACGCGCTGCCCCCAAAAACGCGGCCGAGCCTCATTCAGCCCCCTCATCTCCAAACGCCACTCCGACGAAAATGCTAACCATCACGCCGTACGCTCAACCCCTAAACCCGCGACTAAATCCGAAAAGATCGTTAGGCACGGTCACCCTACATCCCGTGGCAATCAACTTCAAAGTAGCTAAGGGTCACGATCGACCACAGCAGGTGCTGCTCCACCCGCGAGTAAACACCAAGAGCAAACTGTCCTTAAGACTCCAATCTCTACACATCGTACGTAAGACCTATTATATCCTACGCAAGCGCAGCCTTCGCGCACGTGTTCAAACATAGCTAGTACGACTTCCAAGTCGTCCAAAATACTTCCATTGGGAGAGCTACCGGAGCCCGATGGTATCAGCGAAGATCTGACCTTCACAAGGATTGCCAACGTCCAACGATCTCTGAATATTTCAAGGAAATGTTTCAACGCTACTTCGAGAGCGCTATGACACACCCTAATAGTGTGGGTTCAGCTAGTGGTAAAAGCAGCCACACACGCTCCGACTTCAAACGTTACGACCGGTCTTCGGAGACTCTGCAACGTATTAATAGAACCCCCGGTACTGCTCGATTCCGACGACCCAAATGTCGGTGGCCCGTCACACCCTAACACTATACACTCACCGAATGTCACAAACACCATTAGTGTTAGGATAACGGATGGGACGCGTCACGCTCGCAGACGGGCTGGCCGCACACCCCTCTACAACGCGTATACACCGTACACCTGCCTGGGCGGTTCTCACCATCCAAAACATCGAACGACAGCCGGGGTCAGCCCTGCTGGGACGGCGGTCAGATAATTCATCTGTACACAAATTTGCGTATAAACAGTGTTATTATTTATTCTGTGGTATAGGTGAACAGCGTAACTGAAAAGGAACGTTCGGGCATAACCTTATATTATTCTCATCACCATCATTATCATCAGGCCGCGAGCCCTGTGTCCGACAAAGCTGTAAAAGCCAACTGGCTTACAGAACTAACATCACAGAAAATATGTACAGCGTCAAATACTCAATTTCGTTATATACAAAAGATAAATTTGTTTGTATTACGAGCGCCCGTGACTTTTATAAGTATTTTTCTTTTCGTTGATAGATCATTTGATAAATACCTATAACTATTCGAACAATTTATCGACTTCATTTGATCATTGATCATGCGTAATTTCGAAATCTTTTAGTAAACGCTCAAATCACGTACGTGCAGTGCGTGTGTAAATGTGGAATTTCGTTGAATGTATGTACTTAATAATTTTAGCTGTTAAAGTGGTTTTAATCACGTTTTGCTTATGTCAACTACATGAAAAATCGCGAGCATTAAATTATTACCTTTTCCAGCGTCTCTTTGATTAAGAAGCAAAATGCGTTGTCGCTCCTGAGGACTAAGGTGAAATTGCACTTGTATGTTCTGTGCACTAATTATACGAAACAGCAGCATTATGTTGCTGTTTCACGCTACTATGCGAGCAAGGTCCTATCTGCAGGCCTATTCGATAGCTTTAAATGATCACTTACGTTACACACATACCTCGTGTCTATATTATAACTTTTAGCTAACACACGGTTCACAAAACATACGATACAATGCACTACAAAGTGACTTTAATTTTTATGTAAACAAAGTTATATAATGGGACAACTGGTCCTGGCCTGGTCAAGCCGACACTGCCATTCTACAGCCGTAATACGCTGTAGCTTGACGAACGTTTTATTTTCAATAACGATTGTAGAATAATTTCTGATTTTGAATCAAGAATCCACGTTGTTCCGATCAATATCTTAAAAAAAAATCCCGTCTTTCTGACCCTTAAAGCATAACTGATATTTAATAAATACTCTTGTAATTTATAATTAATAAAAATTATTCTATTCTATTCTATTGTAATATGATTGAATTATTTTTAATTTTATTTTATTACGGCTGCATGATTTTATTTTGGGTCGCTTTTTCATGATAAAATAAACGACACAGTTACATACTGTGTCGTCTATTACCACGTTTTTTTGCCGCCTTTTTTACTTTTATGTACTTTTTTCATTTCCTTTCCTAAAGTCACATAAAAGTCGTGACGATTTGCATAAAATAGATAATACCAACCGCACTAAGTTTATTGATGACTGCAAGTAAAAATGTGTAAATTTTACGTTAAATATAATACTTTTTCTTCTATTTCATTTTTTCACTTAATAAAATCGCATGTAACTGCGATCAGTTATTTATAACTACATCATAATCATTACAACCATTACAAGGCCATCGTTGAATAAAGGGCTCCCCCATAGAACCAATTTTAGATGGATATTTGTCATAGTTGTACTGGAGTTAGCACCTGCAGTTTTTTTTTTAAATATAAATTGTTATTACCTATGTCGCCTCTTACAACAACCGTGGGATGATAGATGATAGATGTAATTTTTTTTATTAATTTTTATTAAAATATCGCTCCTGTAGGGCTAGCAATATAAACTTAAACCCACGTCCAATGAACTAGGATAAAATTGTCCCTTTCCAAAAAAGTATAATATTTTATCTTTCATTTGGCTCCATGCTACGGACCGTGAATATATGTCTACTGGTTATGTCAAACGGGGATATACTTAAGGACAAGATAATTTTATCTCTTGTCAGTGGATATAATCGGGGGATAAATTTTTGTCCCCAGCCTTAGAAAATGCTTGTGTTAGGAATGGTTCACGACAGTAGTAGAATGGCGGATTCGGACCCACGACCTTTAGAGTTCGCGATTCGCATCCTGCCATTAGGCTACTGTCGCTTCTAAAGAGACAACTCTAGATGTAATGGATTCTCTTACGGTGTAGCTACACGAATATTCTATAACTTATGTTTGTATGATAAGAATACGTTATTGTGTTAAAATTGAAAACTTCATCGTCATTAGGATTTGTCCAGATAAGTTGAAACGCGGTAGAGCTACGGCAGCGAATAATGGCTGCAGCCCGAATGAGGGCTAATAATCTTCGGCTCACCAGTTGACAAT